TTACTTAGAGGTCGGAAGTTAGTTATCATAGTAAATTTTTGTGTTATTTACGTTTTTTTACAATTTCTTATGTTTTTTCGCGTTTGTTTTGTTACACAAGATCTTGTGATTTTATTGGATCCGGATTAGGTCGGAAGGGATCTTCAGCCGGGATTTTCTGGACATAAGGGTACCCGAGCTACGGGAGTTGCTGATCCTTCACCCGGTGTGCAACACATAAAAAAATTATTTTATAATACCAGGTCATTCCGTTAGTACATGTTATGATTATAATCCAATACAATTTTATTATAATAAAATGGTAATCATAACATGAATGATCTGGTAATTTTTTTATGTGTTGCACACCGGGTGAAGAATCAGTCGTGTAACATCAACGGTCGCTGCCGTTGTTTTGCCATAGATAAGGTACGGATACCCTTATGTCAAGCGAAAATCGACCTCCGACCATAAAATTTCTGGTCCGGCACCAATAAAATCTCGTGATCTTATGTAAATAGAGCTAAATTTTTTATTATGCTAACAACTTCCGACTTCTAATCAGCATTAAAATTTACATATAGCATTTACTCTTTCACATCAGATATAGATAGAATACTGAGATACTCCAACCCAAGTATGTGGACCGGAAGGGTCCGATTTTCGTTTGACATAAGGGTACTCCACATAATAGGCATTAATGTAAAAGTTACGTATACACGTGCATACAGTATGTACAATTTATTGTGCCGAAATCACAAACTTAATCGAATCGGTTAGAGCATCCTTCAGTCAATTTTTATCAGGTATAAATATATTCATTGAAGACTGGACGGCGAAGCCGCTACTATTGATTTCTGTAATTTTGTTTATAATTGGTAATCTAGTCATGTAGATATTACTGTATTATAAACAAAAATCTCATTAAAAATTTAACTTTTATAAATGACAGATTTTATAACAGGTTTATTGAATATATAATCATTCTGAGGGAAGAGCTATGACGTCAAACTTTTCGCTTGTTTTGACTCCAGACGTATCGTTCAATGTAAGAACATAGGTAGCAGCTGGAAGGTTTACTTCCCACAAATACGTTTTAGCTAAATGTAGAATTTATCATTGGTTTACGAAATCATAACTGATAATATTATAAAAAAAGTAAATCATAATACTCACGAGCAAGAGGCACCTGATCTATGACAATAATCTTATTTGTATTTTTATCTTGTGCTGATAAAATTCCGGTATTACCCGTTAGATCTTCCGTACCAGCTATTAAAGTCCAAGTAACCTGGACTTTTTTACCGGATGTAACTTGACCAAGTGGAATGTCTAATGTGCCAACAATTCCTGATGAAATGTTTACAAATTCTGAAATTTTTAAATGCTGTTAGTTTATACTGAAAAGTTAAGACCTAGTTCTTCCTAGTTCTTAATTTTTTTAAAATAGCATTTCAAAATGATGCTTACGAGTAGAAATCAATGTAATAAAGCCAAAGAAAAGAGCTAACCAAATTATGAAGCGATTCATGATTATTGCACTAAATTGACTAAGGTTGGCAAGAATGGTATCTTAGGACTTTAGGATTTTTCAGGCAGTTACTCCGAAAATTGTTGCTTAATGTTAATATTAACCACGTCTGAAAAAAATTGATTTTTTTTAGTTAATTCTGTATTTATTTTTAAATTTTAGAATATATTTTAGAAATTTAGAGCATTCTAAAGTAAGTTCAAGATTTTTAGGACGTCCGAAAACCAACTTTACAATATCAATATATGCGTAATAATTTCTGTGTTGCATTACTAAAATACTACGCATGTACGTGACTGCGGGAAGGTCCAAATATAATTGGTTATCATTATCGTTATCACATTAGGGTGTAGGGTATGTAAAGGGCTATTAAGGTATTACCTTAACCAATTACGATCATTAATTTCGGATTCCTATTAAATTAAATTTACATTTTTTAGTAAAAGTAATTAACAAAAATGCATATAATTTTTTGTTTTTAACTTGGAGTTCTAAACTAGCTTTACATTGTAAGAGAGCCATTCTTTAAATCTTTTTTTTAAAAAATTTTATAAATAATTAATTGTCCGGAGCGGAGTGTAGGACTTTACTGTGACGGGTGCCCCTGCAATAATATTCAAATCAGGCAGAAGTTTTACTGTCCAGACTTATGATACCCCTGTAAGAAAACATACGGTATGCTTTACTTGACAAGAAAAACAATCCCTTTCGATTTTACAAGAGAAATAAATAACGGAAATTAGTAAAACTACGATACGAAGAATCATATATATAACAATTGAATGCTTACTTTGGAACTTATTTGAGTGAATGAATAAAAATTTCTTATAGAATATACTGTAAAATTAAATATATTTTTTAAG